CATGTTTTTGGAGATTTTTGAAGGAAATTAAAGAGGGATTCAAGAGGAATCGACTTGAGGTAAGAATCTTGATCTTAAAACTCGATTATATTGTGAAATCCACCTAGAAATTCATGGAAAACTAAGCCTAGAATTGAAGAACTAGGGCTTGAGAAATTGGACTTTTGATTTGGGATTTGAAGGACCATTTGGGGTCGGATTTGAGAACTTTTGATATGTATGCACTCGTGAGGAGATAAGGAATCTAATGATGTGAAAATTTCTGAGTTTTGAGAAGTGGGTCCGGGGCTCGGGTTTTGCAAATTTCGGGATTTTTGATATTTTTCGATCATTTTCGCTTGGGCTATGTTCCCTTAGCATATTGTGATGTATTCGTTCTAATTTTGGATAGATTCGACGCGCATGGAGGCTGATTCGAGGGGCAAAGGCATCGCGAGCTAGAGTTGTAGCCGGTTCGAGGTAAGTAGTGATTGTAAATGCTGTTCTGAGGGTTTGAAACCCCGGATTACACATCGTTGTGCTATGTTGAGGTGACTTACATGCTAGATGACGAGCGTGTGGTAGAGCACCGCTGGGGATTGTGACTTAGTCCATTCCGAACAATTATTTTAATGCGTAATTGATAGTTAATTGTTTGATGTTATTATATTTTGGGCTGTATGCCATGTTTGGGGCCTTGTGCCGACCTGCTGAGACCCTTAGGGACACTTCCACTATTTTTCCTCACTCTATTTGTTTTGAAAGTATATCCTCAGTTGTGTTTTACCTGTTTATTGTTTAAATCTGGTTTACTTTATTTCTTAAAAATATGAAAACTGTTTGGGCCGATTTCCCTGTTTTACTGATGGTCCGAGTGATCATGAGGTTGATAACTGAGATAGACCGAGAGTCTGATTGTGAGGTTAATGACTGAGAGAGGCCGATAGCCTGGTTGTGAGGATTATATAGTTATGGATCGGGCTGTATGCCGCATATATATATATATATATATATATATATATATATATATATATATGTGTGTGTGTGTGTATATGGATCGGGCTGCACGCCGTAGCAATATAGAGCTTGGGCTGTAGGAGCCCCTCCGGAGTCTGCACACCCCTAGTGAGCACAGTCGACTATATAAATGGATCGGGCTGCACGCCTTAGCGATTACTATATGGTACCTATTGAGTGTGAGTGCTAAGTGTGAGCGCTGATTGGTAAGAGTTGAGTCACGAGTGACTGAGAGGCTTGACCGAGGGGCTATATATATATATATATATACATGTACATGAGTGATGCTTTGCATGAGGGGCTAGTTTATGAACTTACTATTTTCACTCCTATTTAAAGTGAGTTTTTATTGAACATGTTGATTTAATTGCTGGTTTCACTCATCTTTAGACCGAGCCTCTATTGAAAATGTTGAACAAATATTTTAAATAATCTTTCATTTAAATTGAAGTTTTTAAGTTATGAAAAGGATTGTGAATTTCTGTTATGCGAGGGGTTGTATACGAACTATGTTTTGCCCGATGGGCGGATTATGATTTTCATCTCTTTTATTATAAATGGTATTGAACCCTTACTGAAACTATTGGAAAGCATTTTTCAAATGATTTTCACCAAAGCTGGATTTTAAATGAGACGATTGACTCATATTCTGATTTGAAAGCTTGTTGTGCTTATTGAGTTTATCATAAATGTGGATACATCATTTCCTAGTGCTCAGTCTTTATTTACGCTTATTACTTACTGGGTTGGAGTACTCATATTACTCTCTGCACCTCCTGTGTAGATTCAGGTATTTCGGAACTCGGTAGTAGGTGTTGATTGCTTGGAGGCGGAGACGTCATAGTTAGCAAGGTGGTTGCACGACGTTCGCAGCACTGCTTTCCTTCCTCTTATTTTTCATTACTGTATTTAGTATATTTTTAGACTTTGGTTGTATTCAGACCTTGGTAGATGCTCATGACTTGTGACACTCCGATGTCGAGCTATATTTATTTTCGCACTTATTTTATTTTGCTAAATCTATACTTGTTAGGGATTTATCCTTATAAATGGCCTAAACTGACTTATTAAACTATTAAAAACTGAATTTAGGAATTGTATCGGCTGGCCTTGTCTTCACGAGAGACGTCATCACGACCGGGTACGGTTTGGGGTCGTGACACCTATCAACATAGTTGGTTGCCCCTAAATCAACTTGTTGAAAATACTTCATGGCATGTGCGCACGACATGTAGTAGATGGTCTATTTCCCATATGAACACAACCTGTTGGCTTCATTCACGGTTTATGGATTATTCCCCCGGTGTCCACGGATAGCGGTGCGAACTTCAAAAATACCCCGGTCATGATCATACTATAAAAATGAATGCCAATGTGCTCGCCTCCTATATTTCTCAAATTTTCTCATCGGTGTTGGCATAAATTGAACACCCCTGTCCATCAATTCCGATGCAGCTTTATGCCTTTCAACAAACCTCTCCGCAATCTGTTTGAATGTCATCCGGATCATGGCAGTGACAGGCAAACCACGTGGAGACTTCAATAAGCCATTGAATGACTCCGACACATTTGTAGTCAGGGCTCCCCATCGTCTGCCACCATCAACATGCAATGTCCACTTGTGAAGCTCATGTCCCATCAGCCAATTATAGGCTCTTTCGTCTAATTGCCGGATCGCTTCCATGCGCCTCGTGAATTTGCACTGCTGGTGCTCAGTTGCAGCCATCCATATTAAATCATGCAAGGCCTTGTCGGGATATTTCTTCTGGAAATTGGCCTTCAGATGCCTCACACAGTAACTGTGGTATGCATAGGGTTCCTGACATTCAGGTAAATGGCGTACAGAACTTAAAATACCACCATGCCGATCAAATATTAGACAAATACCTGAACACTGTTTGACAACGTGCTGCTTCAAGTGGTTCAAAAAAAGTGTCAACGTCTCTTCGCTTTTATTGGCACAAATGGCAAAAGCTAGTAGAAATATTTGTCCGTTGGCATCTACTGCAACTGCGATCAAAAGCTTAGTATCATGCTTTCCATAGACATGAGTATTGTCTTTGGAAATTACCGGACGACAAAGCACAAAACCATCAATTGCTAGTTTAAATGACCAAAACACATAGTTAAAAATACATTCCAGTATTCCCGAACTCTACTCATGCCTCCATTCAACAACAGTCCGGGAGTTGAAATGTTTTAGTGCGGCCATGTACTTGGGTAGAGATGAAAATGACTTATTCCAGTCACCCTAAATAATTTCAAATGCACGTTTGCGCCCGAGATATGCCTTTCTTTTGGTTATAGTACACTCATATTCTTGGTGGACGGATGAAATACACTCTTTGATCTTGTACCTAATGAACACTTCCAAGTGTGGAATCAAGACAAGATAAATCAAGTCTACATCCAAGTTGAAGTGATTCTGATTGAATGTGTCCATTTCACATATGTGGGTGCCAATATATTTACCCACTTTCCACAACCTTGTTTCCTTCTTGATCGCACGTAACATCCAGTTACAACCCATAAACTGTCTATGGCATACAACCTTGTATACCTCCGGAGTTGCCTCCCTTACCCTCATCTCACGGCACTCTCTGACGCTGTATGTTTTTACAGCCCTAGTTAAGCGAGCTTTATCGGGAAAATACATGCCCTTTGCCAGCAGCATTGGTCTAGACTCATCCCACATTGTTGATCGAATTTCTCAACATCCCTTGTGATGGCATCCACATCCGACAAACTTGGCAAATTATCAAGGTAGGGAATATTCTCCTCATGAAATGACACGTGGAACTTGTACACTCTTGATCTAACTGGAGGTGGAGGAGCATGCTCCCTCGTCAGCTCAGGTTCGACATTTACTTTCTCCTCGTCATCACCCTCGTCAGGGAAGGGTGTGTCATCTCCAGACTCATCGGTATTGTTGTCATAATCACTATTATCTTCCTGACTCCATGCATCTGCCAGATCACGAGTAAATACGTCGTCTACGGGCAACTGAGTGAGGCCGGGACCATCAAGTTGGTCATTTTCACTGCACAAAAAGAACAAAATGATAAGCTACTCAAATTGATAAATATTTTTCATATAGCTATATCACTCACTTACAAGTCGTACTGCGTTGATATTCCATGATGGACATTTTTCTATTGGTGATGACTCCCGGATGGACCACCGTGATCCAACACATCAAAATAATAAGCAAACCCCTGCGGAATCACAGAATACGGAAATTTACTGGTTACTTTAAGGTTCATCGAACGTTCCCTCACACTCATTTTTTTACGTAATAACGATACTAATTTATCGTACTCCATTGTAAGCGGCAATTTAACATGACACTGTAGAGATGAACTATAGCTCACAGAGTTATTCTCCGTTACAACCTCACCCCCCAATATAATGAAACCCTTATTTTTGGCTCTTCAGACATTATAAAAAATGCTTGATAACAAGAAGAAAAGTTTGAACAGAAGTTAGAATATTTTTTGAATGGATTTTCATAAAATCCTAACGCCTTTAAATAAGGCAATGCCTAGCCCGAGGGGCTGAAGTTTTTGATGTATAGTGTTGTATTACACCGCGCTATACCCATTTGAATTATTGTTATGTCAATTAACTGCAGGAGACTTATTGGTGGGCCCACAAACAGGTATAGCGCGGTATTATGCGGCGCTATATATATTTGAATTACGGTTATGTTAGTTAAATGTAGGAGACTAATTGGTGGGCTCATAAACAGGTATAACGCGGTATAATAACGCGCTATATATAATGCGGTATTATATCACGCTATATATAATGTGTTATTATACCGTACTATATTTTAACGATAGAAACTCCGTTAAAGTATAGCGCGGTATAATATCGTATTATATATAAAAAAATAACTTTTTTTGGACAGTAGAAAGGTATTTTGAGTCCAAATAGTTGACCTTTAGGTTTGGAACTTTCATTTGGATGATTCTGTATCACGTTCGCTATCAAGACAATTGCTTTTAACGTTCATCCACGTACGGTGTCATGCATGTAGAACTATACGTACTTAAATCATGCAGTAAATTACTCAAACCACAGTAAGACGATCCTCCTTCTTCAACTGCTTGTCTTGCCATTTCCTTATACTCTTTAGCTCTGTTTCTGAATTCTTCTGCTTCTTCACCCACAATTACTCTCTTTATTGCTTTAGCTATTGCTTCTCTTTTCACTCCTTCACAAGGTGTTGTTTGCCATAGCATAGAACCAAGGCCAACCCCAGTTTTCAAAACCTCAGTTACTAGCTTTTCATTGAAGAATTGTTCAGCAGATAGAGGCCATGTCACCATTGGTATTCCTGCTGATATTCCTTCCAGCGTCGAATTCCATCCACAATGTGTAACAAATGCACCCACAGCTTCGTGATCTAGAATTAGTACTTGGGGTGCCCATCCTCTTATTATTAAACCTTTTTCTTTCGTTCTTTCCTCAAATCCTTCAGGAAACCAATCTTTGTTGTCTTGTTGATCTGTTCTAACAACCCAAATGAATTCTTGTCCCGAAGCTTCAATTCCCATAGCAAGTTCGTGCAGTTGTGACGCGGTGAAATTCGCTATGCTACCGAAACAAACATAGATAACGGAACTGGATTTCTTCGAATCAAGCCATTTCATGCACTCATGATTATCTATAGAGGATTGCTTCCCTCTTTCAGCTTTATCTTCAATGTCCATATTGCACAAGGAAAGCGGACATATAGCCCAAGCGTTTCTACCTAGAACCTTGGTATAATGCTCTACATAATCTTCAAGCTCATAGAAACTGTTGAATATAACTCTATAACTCTTCAAGTCCGATTCCCTTACTAATTTCATCATCATGGACATGACTGACTCTTCATCCGATTGGTCAAGCGGAGACAACTGTGTTCTTGTCAGCTTGATTTGGTGAGGCAAATTAGGTACAACAAAAGTTTCAGAATCAGAGGAGACATTCTTAAAAGGCTTATTAAGCCTATTGCTCTTGTTTAACCAAAAATCTGAGTCTTTGGTCAAAGCTAAAAAGAAATTCGCGTTACTGATAATCAAGAGACAAAAATAAAATACTTTTAAGAATTATGGTAAAACAGCAGATAGTTTTGTATTTCAATGAATTCTCAATAGTATTCCGTGTCCTTACAAATGATGATACTTCTTCCTTTTATAGATAATTCTAGGTAAAGGAATGAAGCCTCAGCTTTGATGATATAATTATGAGTAATAAATGACATTAAATAAGCTGTTATACAATCATTCCTATTAAATACCAATTTTCTAACGTATCAAGTATTTAATAATGAATTTGGACTCCTTTCTGTCATCAGATCTTTGTCTTTAATGCCTTCTAACCCGTTGGCTGTAAATAATTTAAATTGGTACGAGACTCGTATCTATACTTTGTCTCGTGCCTATTTAAATTCTTCTTCTCGTGGCTGTCTCCATCCGTGCCTCGTAGTCAATTGTTGCGCTTTGANAATAAATGACATTAAATAAGCCGTTATACAATCATTCCTATTAAATACCAATTTTGTAACGTATCAAGTATTTAATAATGAATTTGGACTCCTTTCTGTCATCAGATCTTTGTCTTCAATGCCTTCTAATCCGTTGGCTGTAAATAATTTAAATTGGTACGAGACTCGTATCTATACTTTGTCTCGTGCCTATTTAAATTCTTCTTCTCGTGGCTGTCTCCATCCGTGCCTCGTAGTCAATTGTTGCGCTTTGACCATTTAACTAAACCACGTGTCATGTCACATCATCTTTAATATAAACTCAGTTTTTTCCCAATACAGATAGTCCCCCCCACTTTCCATTTATTTATCAATTAAATAATTGGGAAGTGGATCTTCATAAAAAAGGAATTTTTGCCACAATTAATGCTTATGACAGTATTAACGCCTCAGTAGTCTTTTCCATTTAATGTTCTGCCCATGTGTCATTTTCTGATTGATTCCGCTATTTACACCCTTTTTCGAGACTTCTTCATTCTCACTATTCACGAAGTGATAGCTGCCTTTATTATAGGCTTTCCATCATTACACTTCTAAGGTTGACGGTTCCCATTATATACATAACCTTTTCTTCCTTTGTCTTCTTCACAAATCTTCAGCAAACATTTTCTTCTTTATTTCTACTTTCTTTCGACTTATCCTTCCTAACAATGTCTTCTTCAAACCCTAACCGTAAAAAAGTTCCAATTCTAGACCAATTCCCCAACGCCCATGTTAGACACAGAAGAGGCGGAGGAGGTAGGCTTCGAACAGGGTTAGAATCTACTCGAGGCGGCTCCTCTGGTTCTTCTTCAAGGAGTTCTATCCCAAAGGCCCCCTCTTCTAAAAGTAGAGAAATTCTTGATTCTTCTCAAGAACCCTCAGTTGATGAGATAGTTCCCAGCGATTTGTCTTTTGAAAGTGACAAAACGTCTCTTCAAAAACAAATTGCAAATTTAGAAAAAGCCGATACTTACCCTACAATAGTAACCGAGCTTACAATCCCCACCATAAGAAAAGATTGTAACTGGAAGGATAGTCTTCGAATGTCAATTCCTTCCCCAAATCAAAGAATTTCCTCCTTTAGAAGTGGGTATTCTTTTGTTTATACTTACCCCTTCACTTTAGGTTTTAATCCTCCGATTGACCCAGTTATTCTTGGATTTTGCCGTTTCTTTACAATTTGTTTGGCCCAAATCGGTCCACTAGTGTGGAGAACAGTGACTTGTTTGAGATATTTATCCTCCAAAGCCAATGTCAATTTCACCTTCTCTCACCTCATTCATCTGTACCACCCTAACTTAATACGTCATGGGGTTTTTACCTTAACTGCAAGGAGCAAAAAAGTTCTGGTAAATCTTGAAGATGATAAAGATCGTGGATGGTATATCCGTTACGTTGTTGTTCGTACGGTGGACTTGATTGGCGAAACA